TTATTAGCAATTTCTTGTTAATTATAAAAAAAAATTGTGGGTATTTTCACTTGTGTAGTACATGTTTGGGATAAAATAAGATATAATAGTAACACTTTCGAATTTAGATATTTTGATCTAATAACTTGTATTAAAATCAAAATGTCTTACCTACTTTAATATTTATAGTTCGGAATTTTTTCAAAAATTTCCAGTTATTGTTTTAAAGGGGTCATGTGGAATATTCAATACATTTTCAAAGTGTAATATCTATTATTAACATACTTATTTTTACGAAATTCAAAATACGAGAATAACCTAACCACGGTTTTTTTTTAATTTTGATGAAATTTTTCAACGAGTATTTTTAAAAATCAGTTTCTTATTTTGGAAATTTCTTAACGCGCCACTGATTTCAGCTTGAATTGACATTTTTAAAGTCACGAATTGCTACCATTGCCAAATAACATAAGTATTTGCCAAAATTAAAAAACCACCAATACTGTATTCTACCTTTAAAATACAACTGACAACACCATAGCTTTAAATCTGATGTTTGAGATGGGGGGAAAACAAACATAGGTTGTAACTAATTTATACTCAATTACAGATTTTGAAAAGGTTTTGACGTTTCAAAACAAAATTTTTAATTTATCTGTGCTTGCGTGTTTCCTGATGACAGTTGACATTCTAGAGTTTTTTTTTGTTAGCAACTGAAATTAACATGTGTTTTTTTTTAATTTTTCAAACACTATATTATTATATTGATAACTCAATTTTGCTTTTAAGTGACATATTAATTTACATTCGCAGTTTGATTTTAACGGTAACTAGTAAAATAGTATGCAGAAGAACGTAACTCATGCAGTACTTTTTTCTGTAATCCTGTAATTGACAGCAATTATTTTTCGTGAAAATTTGCTTGTAATGTAATGATTTTTTTTTTTTGTAAATATTTTTAACTTAATGATGGCGTCGTAATGTTCAAATCAACAGCTAAAATATTTCAAGATCGTTGTCACATATAGGTAATTTAAGGAAAAAACCATAAACAACAATTGTTGTTAAATTCTAATTTTGATTTTTGATGGCGCATTTTGAATATTTCTTCAATTTTTTTCTCTGAAGTGCAACGAATAGCAAGTTTCATTTTATTCGGACGTTTTTGTTATTTGTTGGATACACACTTATAGGGTGCATCTTCTTCTACCCAAAACCGAAATGACACAATTCCAATAATTCAAAACAAAATTTAATTTGAACCAAATTTAGTAGAAAGTAGAAGAGTAATTCCAGCTGTTTTTCTTTCAGCTGGATCTCGATTCGTATGGAAATTGAAGCCCTTCCACAATGGGTATGGCATTTTTTAAACCTATTGGGAAAACCAAACGATGCTCAAAACAAAGTTTGTTGCCATATCACAAAGCTGCTTCGTCACGTCGTGAATATTCCATTATCTAGATGCTTTCCTCGGTAATTTCTTATATTCTTCTTCAGGAATATATTTTTCACCCTATTTTTCAAAATCATTACCTTCGGAAAAAATAGGTCAATCAGTTAGACGAGATTCTGGTTACAGTTTGTTCTATTAAATTTAGTTTGAATTTTGAATGATGAAATTTGAAAATGTCAAAACGGCAATAATATATATTCTTAACATTAAAACAACAACAACAATATTCCCAAACTATGAGCCGCAGTTAATAATACTGCGTTAAATAAGAACAGTTTGAACCACTAAGGTCAAGAGGCTTCAAATTCTCTGGTTTCTAAGTAACAACCGAAAAACGAGAACTCTGAACACATTCGACATTATTTTGTCATCAAAAAACCGTATATGTAAACTGATATATCTACTTAAACATGCAGTTTCTGTGCTTTAATTTAACAAATTTAACTCGAATTCTTGTCATTTTTCTTTCGGTTCTCTCTACAAAGAATTTGACCCAAATTTTCCTTCACTCACAAGAATACGCGCCATCTGATTACAGGGCAAAAACGAAAAGTCTCTCGGCTTTCCCTGACCGAGAAAAATGATTTCACTCAGATAATGCGATTCCTCATACAAAATTTTAATTGAATTATAAAGTGAATGAAAACATTTAACAACTTGACGAAACGTAATTAACTGTTGATTATAATCACTTAATCGAAATTGCCTGAACAAGATTTAAATTCACGCCTCCCTGTGCTATTATTCCACTGTGAAACTTCAATTTATCTCAATTAGATCACAACGATTAAAAAAGAAAATTGCTTTTGGCGTAAAACTGTTAATGCCGAGATTGCCTGATAAATTTAACTGCTTGCAAACGATTTAAGGCAATCAAATTTAATTAAAAGTGAATAATCATTACTGAGGGAAAAATGAAACGGAAGAAGGGTAACAATGGGCTTTGGACGTGCTCCGGATTTAGCAGTATAAAATGAAACAGAAGTATATTTTAAAATATGAATTAATAGACTGCTTGTGCTTACTGAACACACCATATATGTATAAAATATGGATCTGAAGCCATTTTTCTTTAATTAAATTTTTTATCGTTTTAACATATTTACCATTAATTTTTTACAAAAATATAAAGAAGAAACACCCCTATAGAAAATACCGTATTATTAAAAAAAACTAATCTGTAGCTGATCTACATTGAAAAGAAACAAGGTAAGATTACTTGTATTAACCACGACCTCCTTTTATCTGAATTTTTTTAATCAATCGTATGGTATTATAATATAATCTATTTTATACTGATTACTCTGCCCGCATTTGCTGCTATAGCGACAGTGACTTTATCAAACTTTCCATTTCCTTCTATCTGTCTATCGAGTGTTAAAAGTTTATTATATTACACAGATAACCTTTAGTGTGCTTCGTTTTATTGTTTCAATGTTAAAACACCAATAAAATTTGGTCTGTTCGCCCCTCCAAAAAATTATTAACGTCATCTGAACTCATTGTTAAGTAAATCTCACCACAAATGTATAGTATAACATATTCCTGCCTAATATATAGCGTGTTTCATCTAAATTTTTCGTTTAAATTACTTCGAGACTACCACAAATGTATTATAGAAAAAAACTTAATAAATTGTAAGACGCGGACCCATAGAATAATGTCTTTTGCACACAATATGTAACTGATCGTAATTAGAACTTTCACAAAAAACTGGTCGAAGGCTACTTCGACAGAACTTCCCCCGCCCTTACATTATAATCCGACAATTTTAGTTGTTTAAAAAAATTATAAAATTTGATTTTACAATTTTCGTTTTGAAATAACCTCTGTAAAATAAAAACCAGTAGCATAAATAAAATTATTAATTAAACCACAATGAACAAAATGTTATGAATATTATAATGTTTATGTTATCATTATTATATAAAGACGTGCGTATTCTCACATTTTCTAGAAAATGGGGTGAACTCGTTCTTAATATGATCAATAAAAAATTTGTTTTGACGTCATAAACATAGATAATATATCTACAATGCGGTAAAAAAGAGAAACAAAAAAAGAAAAAAGGGAGGCCAAATCGGGCATTGAGAACCCGGGACTTCCGGTCCGAAATCCTGTCTTACGCTAATGGTAAACTGCTATTATACCGTACATTACGTTTTTGCGAAAATTTGGACGGTTAGGAAAGAACTCAAAGCAGATTCATACACCATGATTAGTAGATGGGTCAGCATTTAACCATCTACGTAACATTTCTAGTATACTTACAAAATTTGGCAACAATCAGTCCAGCAGTTTCGGAGATTACGTGTCTAATAAAAATGGATATAGATACCAGGCAGGCAGACAGACCGACAGACAGTCGGAAACAAGAAACTACTTTTTTCGTAATATAGGGATCATGAAACGTCGAGAAAATATAAAAGTGACCATTCATCCGATGGACCCTATTACTATCTTTCCTTAGCTTACGGTCGGGAAGTAAAAAGAAAAGATTATTTTTCTTACAGTCGATGGCTTAAACAATTCTCTCCTAAAATCTACTTTATTTATAAACAGCCGATATTTTGTGAAATCCTTTTATTAATTATTGAAAATTATTTTGAAACAAAGCTTGAATTCAGGGTTACACTTTTGTAACATATTTAAAACCTTTCGTTCTTAACTAACATTTACATTTAAAAAGAGAAATTATTATTTAAAATAATATGTTAAAACCGCAAATATACATATAACATTTTTTTTCATTCATGGCTCTACCGCATTCCACAAAACAATAATAGGGTGATAAAACAAAATTGTGACGGTAAAGTTTACAAACACTTAACTCTTTGAGAACAAAGAAGAGTTTGATTGTTTTTCAATCAGTAACATGTAAATTCCACTTCACATTTGTGAGAAGCTATAATGTCGGGTAAAGCTGTAATAACTCCAGTTCGGGTGCAGTTGGTAGCACACATCAAACTCCGAAAACCAGTCCAGTAATTTTAATTAGATCTCATTGGTAAGACTGTTTGTCACCCGTAACGGTCACGAGCTAACACCATAGAAAACCCTAGTGAGGGTATTCTATGGCTAACACTTATGTATATAAATTTTATAGACTACTGCTTACAGCAGTGCACGATATATGTATATAAAACAGTTGAATCTGAAACCTGGAAAGTTGTAAACTTACCAAACGCCTTAAAACACGTTACGCATAGAGACTATTTTTTTATTAAATGTCAACCACTTGTTGATATGTTCGCAACCTGTTAGTAACCATAAAACGTAAGAATTCCGTGTAAGCATCTTAAATCAAGCAGCTGTATTTCAAATCAATTACACTCTAGGAATAAAAAAAAAAAACAGTTTATAATCATTTTGATTTGTGTGACGTTAGTCATATGATAATATAAACCTGACGCTTGTGCTTGTTACAAAAATGGTTGCGTTGGCGAACACTCTTTTTCACAAAAAGCATTACACGAGTCAAAGCCGAGGCAATCTTTTGATCAAAACTGTGCTCTCCAATTCCAGCGTTCGTCGCACCGTTCCCTACTAATTTGTATATTTTGCTCAGTGGGCCGACAGTTCCGGATCCGGCACGCAGCTCCATTACTTGCACAGGATTAAATCTGTCCCGACAGTCCATAATCAGCTCCATTTCACCGTCAGCCGCCTCCAGTCTAGCCAGAAAACGACCAAAACGTGTGCGGTTTGAAGACAACGAAAAATTCCCCAACATCCGGCAAATCGAAGTCCAAGGAGCGGATGGATCGCTTACAGATTGATGAATGGAATCGTTTGTTTTGTGCAAGTGATGAGAAAATTGCCGGACTGCCATTCAAGATTTAATCTGAGAAGGAGGTTAAATGTTTGATGAGGGCGCTGGGGTTAGCTGAATTCAATTTTGGTTAAGACGGACAAAAACGAAATTAAAACAATCAATTCTAATTGGGTTAATGGGCTTTTTCGGGAGAAAGAAACGTCACTTGAGTAAACAGAGAATTTCGGTCTCGTGATTATGTCCTGGATTTAATTAATTTGAATTTAGAAAAATGCGAATAATGTTTACTCAAGGGAAAACAAATAAGCTAATAAAATTTTGGTTTAATTAAGTATTGGGCAAATATTTACCAGGTTTATGTCTGCAAACGTTGCGCCGTTTATTGTGAGTTAGGTAGTTTACATTAAGATTTTTTAAATAAAACACCGGTTTCACTTCGCCAGGTGAAATGTTTGGGAAATTTTCCTCTAGTCCAGGCTGGCACACAAGTTTTATTTTATTTCGTAATGTTAATGGTCAATATTTAAAAGATAAATTACCACGATACTGATCATACATGTTCTACATTACGACTGTAGTTGGTCTAAGGCAAATATCTGGTGGGTATTTGTTGTTTTTATTGATTTGTATGTGTTAAATTATGACTATTCCAAAATAACGACAATGGTTTATGAAATGAAATAAAATGAAACAAAGAATGTTTTGCGTCTATTGAAAATAAAACAAAACATTAGTATTTTTTCTAAAATTTATATCAAACGCTGCCTCCTGTCGGTTGGTTGAATGTTCCGGCTGGCCGTGTTTGGTCTTGTCATATCGATTTTCATTATGCTAATATTAAAATTACTGTTGTTAACAAATTTCATTACTTTTTACACTTGTTAGGAATATTAAAATGACAGTTATTAAATGTACACTGCGCAAATTTAATTTCCTTTAGTTGTTCTGAAGTTTCTATTAAAGGAGAAATTTCTTTAGCCTCATTAAGGAGAGCTTCGAAATCCTGTCTTGTCATGGATACAATTGCTCTTCATGAACTTGGTTTCAAATTAGATAACATTGGAGCTGAATCAGAATTAGTTGCGGACGATCTTGAGCAAACATCTCCACTCTGTATTTTCAATTTTGAAAAAATGACTACTACTTCAAAGATCTTTAAAAAAATTTGTGCAGCATTGGTTAAGACATTTTATAGAAAAAAAATTTGTAGCTAATGGGCTGATACATAATGTTTGGAAAATTCAGGCATTCTCCACTGAAACAGATCTCCATACCAGTTTTTTTTTCAGTAATTTTCAGCATCGATGGATCTGCATCTCTCCACATAGTATGTATAATCTACATCAACATAATCTCAATTAAACAAATTTCAGTCACCGATATTTAAAGAGTTTCGATCAATTGAGTTTCGTTTCTAAAATTCAATTAATGCACTTCTAAGCCGACGCTATTGGGCCTGTTACATTGATAACGACTATAGAAAAAATATTACATTATACACAAAGAAAATCTGAGATCTCTACGTGACAAACCACACATTTTGCAATAAAATTTGTTACTTTTGTTGTTTTACTTGCGACTTTATGTAGATTTTTTCAATAATAAATCTCTCAGACTGAAAAAATAGAATATGACTACTAACATTTGTGGCATCATTTCAAAACCAACTTGATTGACGATTTTTATAATCACCTTGTATTTTTATATGGAATTTTATTCACAGCTGTAAATACTTAGTACCTAAATGAAACTATTTATACATATCATCCGAAAAAGTTCACTTCTAAATATAAATAAAGCATACAGACTGTATGACTATTTAAAAATTAACACCATTAAAATTACATATGTATAAATACAGAATGTTTCATATTTAACGATCAATTTTAAAACTTCAGCCTGTAAAAGGAATAAATTTAACAACAAAGAATTTACGAAACAAGGTTTTAAGTTTGTTTTTCTTTAAACAATTTTGGGAATCAGTTTTATTGTTCCATAGATATAACCAAAAATTCTAATCATGTTTTTATAATTGTATTAGATGTAATGAATTCTAAATTAAAATCTACTCTAGAATCTGAAAAATAACTTACTTAATAAAGGTGATAATTACATACTCTTCATTTTCAATGAAACTTACAATATTGTGATCAGTTTTATACTGATTATAAATCTGAATTCTCTAATACACAGTTCATGAAATACTATTTTTTTTATTGTACTAAACTATGCATAATATTTAATTACTATATGATGCTTTCCACAAATGAGCACTTTTAAAATCATTATTGTTGTACCTTCACAGAAACAACAAAATCTGGAAAAGATAAAACAATTAAAGTACTGCACTTCTAAAATAAAAACGGGGTTTTAAAACTTGCAAATTTAAAGTGTTCACTTCATTTAAACCATAGCATTAGAAATGATAACAAGTAATTCTTTAGTTAAATGAAATGTATAAAAATATGTTCAAATTTTGAAACTAATTAAACCAAAACGTTTCAAGTCTAGCCAGTGAGCAAAATAAACTAAAACAACGCAGTTTGTATTGATGAAGCGCCTACTAAACTTGTTTAAACTCCGTCATAACTTAGTTTAACTTTAGTTATTCTTCTGCTTGAACACGGCACTGTGTACCGAAACACGCGTGTAGCACTGTATTAAAATAAATAAAATATAAATAAATATATAATACAAGTTTTTCTTTTCTAACAAAGTTAAAACTACGAACTTACAATTATTTATTTAAAATGATGTCGCAGGGGCAATAGTCTTCGAATTTTTGTTTAAAATTACATGTAGGAAAAGTTTCTTTCAATAAAATACTTACTAGTAAGTAATTAATTGTCTAAACAGACATTTTAAAACGTGAAAGTTGATATAATCAGGTAATTCAGGGATTTCCCAATGGAAATCCCTGAAAATATCAATGTAAGTGGCGAATAAATTAATATCTAAGCGTCAATGATCGAACATCGACCTAAATGGCGTTGACTGTTAAATGTAAATAAATAGATACTCTAATAATTTGTAAATTGCACCAAATTGTTTATAAATATTACCCATTTCTTTAATGAAATGTAGTTTATAACATTGTCGTAAAGCAGCAGTATATAGACTTCTGTGCCAGCCTGTAGCTTATTGTCGGTTCCCACTGCAAACAATGAATCTCATTTACTGTCCAAAAATTACACATTTCACACTGTGATCCCAAATTTACTTGATTATAACGTAGCAAAACTGATAATTGATGTGAACGGTCGCGCCGAAATGTGGACTCGCCTTTTCAAAAAAGGCCAATATCAATCTGCACTTTTTCGAGGTGATCGTTCCGAGCTTCCGTAAAATCCATATCACTTGGTATTTTTGTACTTGAAAATACATTTAGATAGGATTTTTCTTTTTCGTAATGTTAGGACTTTATTTGTGTAAGATAATTAAGTAAAATTATAGAAAAGCAAGATACGCTTTGCAGTTCCAACTTCCTCGCCTGGTTCGAGGACAAAGTTTGTAAATTCACCCCATTCTTGCTATACTCTTTGTAATTAACTATCTTCGTTTGATGTTCTGTCTGTGATTTTTCTTAAGTGTAATTCTGTTTGTTAATAAAGAAACGTGTAATTTTTTTACTGGATTTAATTTGCCTGTAACCGACACGTCCTGAAAACATGTATGTATCTGGATACATTGCCCGAAGACACACAATGCAAACGCGAGTTTAAAGAGCCGTTTAAATTTAACTTTCCGAAATGCGCAACCTGGAAATTCTACAATTTCAGCACGTTTTGCAGTCATTTTCTCAAATGCGACCAGACATGCAAGTACAGGTTTGAAGAAATTTGAGTAATGCATGGTCATTGTGTATTCCTTAAGAAATAAAATAAATGTGAAGGAGTTGTTACGTGTACATGTTCATAATGTTTAAATGGAAGAGGTAAGTATAGTTGGCCCTAAGCAGGTTTTCCAACAAAACAAAAGCTTTGAGGTGCTTCTTTGTTATATTTAACAGGCAGCACGATTTATCCGCCTCTAAAATTATAACATCTCCATGTTCTGAAGGAACAACTAGATTTAGTTCTGTCAATCTTTGTCGAGTATTCAGTATTTGTCTAACATTAATAATGATTCCTTCTTGCATTTACAAAAAAATCTGAGATACGAAGATTCACGAAAAAAATGTTTAAAAAGTTATTTTCAATAATTTATTATGATATTTATATATGATTTTAAACACAAGGGAAAAAACAAGAAAAGATTACAAATGAAGGAACCCCAGACACAACAAAATTAAGCCTTAAAAAATCTTAAATTGGTCAAGATTCCCTGCGACGATCGACACCATATCCTCAGGTACGTACGAACAGAACTGATTCCTAACATTCTATGAGCACTCCACCGCAAAAAAATCTTGTTCTATTAAAAATGTACACAGTGATTCAATAAACACAGGCTCCTCGATATCTTATTAACTGTTAGAAGCGATCAAAGTTTGAACCGCGTAAAATCAAATAATATTGAACTATACCGTGGTGTCTTCCTGAGGAGTAACATACAACTTAATCTTATTGAATGGAACAGCCTGTATATTTTTACATGTCTCCTCTTAGGCTATACACGAATATTTTATGTTTGTAATTACGATGCGATATTGCCAAGTTATTCCAATTTTGTAGAAATTTTTTAACAATGCAAAGATAAATTCTATATTCTAGTTGTTTAGATCGCAGCAACATCTCTTCGTGTTATGTAAAACCTCAAGTGTAAAGAGTTTATAACCTGGGTGATTTGCTGTCTTTACACAATTATCTCCCAATTCTAATTTACTTCGAAAATTTAAAAAATCTTCCCAATTTGAAGTTGCTTTTTTTGGGTACTACAGTTAGTACTTTATTTCAATCTACAGATGGATATGATAAAAATAAAACTTCAGTTTACTTAATTCCGTAGTCAATTCTTTTCCACCTTGGCGTTTTCTAAACATTGTTTATTATTTTAGACAAGCTCCTCCTTACGGTCATTAAAATCTGCCGAAATACGGCAAAACGCCACTTCCAATATCATTCTTACGATAGCTCTTGAAGACTTGTGTGACATATCTACTTGTTTGTAAACGAAAATCTTCATGGAAATAGTTTTTATATTGTATTAGAGACTTTCGTTTTTTTAATAAAAAATAAAAACAGACAAATTTATTTTTCTCTTTGAGCCAAAGCTATAACGTATTTTGGCTTAAAAAAATCTGACAGTGTAGATAATATTATTGCTTATCTGGGAGTTGAAATTATTTTTTTGTTAAACTATTCATTTTTTAGTTGTTGTTAAAAGTAAAACCTAAAAAGGACATTTTTGTACATATAGGCAACCAAACATCTGCTTTCGTCAAGAACCAGTCAAGAAAGTGTATGGCCGCTATTGAGAGATTAGTTGTTGATAAGTTTAGAAAAGTGCTAGGTTTTCTGGGAGTATAAAAAGGTTTTTACACGAGCTAGAAAACGCACTTTTCTAACGAGTACAACATGCTATTTTTTTGTATCCTTCATGGAAAGGCCTATACCGAAGAGTTTTTTAAAGAACCATCAAGGTGCAAAACGTAGGAACCATTGAAATAATTGCAAACCTCCAGTCAATAAGCAAAAATTTTACGAAAAAATGAACAATTGTGCTAATTATTCTCAAGATTTTCAACGAGAAATTGCGGCAGCTGCACGAGAAGCAGTTAGAAATTTGCTTCCTGATAAATCAAAAGAAAAATATTTTATTCACAATCGGTATGTAATATGTCATTTGCCAACTTTTTTTAAGTTTGAAATTGAGCAATTGTTTGTCATCTTTATGTCATCCTTTTATTATTTTTCAATAACAACCTTTATTTAATACGCGTTACAATGTAAATAACGGTCTAGGGCGTTATTTTTGAAATTAATAGGCCGTAGGGCGTTATTTTTCAATATTCAGAAATTATAGTAAGAGTAATGATAAAAATGGAACAATAACGTACTTTATATAAATTTATTCTTTTTGCTTTATTTCAAAAGTACAATTAGTAAAGTGACCTGAAAAATTAACACCTTTGGAATCTGTAACACTTGAAAATTGACTTGACGTTTTGATGTCAACTGACTTGTTTACGCCAGAAACTAAACGAGCATTCTTCCGTTTGGAACATTCGCTATCATCCACGTATCTTTCTGCCACTGTGGAACTTTTCCAACCTCCTAGTTGCTTCAAATTTAATACGCTTCCTCCAGCATCGGCATGTAATGTCGCAGCAGTTCGTCGCAGGCAATGACCAGTATAGCTTTTAGCATCAGGCAAACCCAAAAATGTGGCGATCTTGGATGGTATAGCCCCTATAGTATTCTTACCCACAGGTTGTGCAGTACATCGACCCCCACGTAACATAAAAAAAATCTGTCATTTGTCTCATCTAATGGTCGACGAGATATGTAGCTGCGAATCAACCGCAAAGCATCCATTTCGTTGTCCTCAATGACCATGAAGCTTCTTGGTTTATCATTTTTCGAAGCTGGTATATTGACGAGTATGTGTTGACCCATATCACGAACATCGTTGCGCTTCATTTTTACAAGCTCATCCCTTCTACACGCTCCAAACACAACCATCACCAAAGCGACTTTAATCATCAGAAAAGATTCATCTGAAGCGTTTTTAAGGAACGTTAAGACCTGTTCCCGTGTTAGTACCTTTCATTTTTTTTGGTTGGTAGCCTTTTGAGCGTTACTTTAAATAGGCCTCCAATTGGGAAAACTTTTTAGCACTATTCACCACTTTTTTAACCATTAATTCTTTCCTTAACATAGAAAATTTAGTCCACAACGAATTCGGAGAAAAATCCGCAGTTAGCTCTTGAAAATAAGCAAGCAGAACGGTTTCATTTACGGTCTTTACTGAATGTCGTTTGTCCATTGAATGAAGCGGGAATATTCTTTTTCGTAAACAGATTTCGATTTCACTGGAATTATTCCTTCCACAGCTTTTGCAGCACTTGCCAAAACACG